AGAAACGTAAGCGGTCAATCAACCCCTGATTAGCACAGTTTCCAGTTTCTCCCTAATAAAATTGAGGTCAAAAACTTTGCATATAATGATCCCCGCCGAAAGTTACAGCTAGCAACGAGCGTCATTGCCGTGCCTCATTCGAAAGCTCATTCTCAGTCAATAGGCATGACGTGTGGCTCATCTACCCCGGTTAGGCACTTGCGCGCTGGATGAACGTCGTGTCAAAGAAGTAATCCGCAGCAGTGACTCTTTTTGAAGGTGGTCTTGATACGATTCCGTCCCCATCAATACAGCCTAGCTGCTAATGATATCAAAAGCGTCAGGTAATCTAGTACTCCTAAACTTTCTCAACTGTTTTTCTCGCCTCCCCAAGTTTTCTTATATGTGTCGTCGTGGCCGTCGAGTCGGGTAGGATATGAATGTACGAAAAGGCAGAATTCATGTTTTATGCCGCTATTTTCATTTTCCTCCGCTGTCCTCAACTATTCTCCATCACGGCCTTAAAGGTCTCAAACACCACCATTGAGGGAGGTATCCTCGATAGCTATTTCTCCGCCTTGCGCAGTGGAGTTCTTCCTTAGCAGAGTAGCGCTTCACAGCCTTATTCACGCGAGGTTCTCTTCATCGTGTGAGAGGAAACCATGAGGATGGCAACGGCGCACTGGTCGTGGCGTTACGCCCTTGTCATCAGTTTGTCCCAAAGTATAAAGTACTGCACCAAGAGCTCCGTGTCGATATAACCAGCTCAGAATTGCGCCGTGACCTCGCGCTGCCGTAATGTTCATTTCCAGACCAGACGTATGAGCCACGCGTAGCTTGCAGTCGGTGTGTCTATTGAACTTCTGCAAGCTGTGGTACTTTCTCAAGAGCGATTTTCACTACTGAGGCTCCGCCCAACATGCAAGCAGAAAACCACTAATAAGGGTAGGATTACGTGACGGCTTATGACAGCTTATTGCACCATAAAAAAGTAACATCCCGAGCCTAGACGTCAATAGTTATTGAACTATTATTCCAATTATTACTACTTACTTTCTTTGCGTACCACACACACACAAAATCATGAATAAGATTCACCGTTTTCACTATGGTTTTTAATTAGTGTAGTTGCTACTAGGTCATTTTTGTCCAAGCGATATCAGTTATATCTCTTTGCGATGTTGTTCCTCCTCTGACCTACCGAGATATGTTTTTGTTTCAGCTACCCTTACATGCAATGAAATGATGGAGGATTAAGTACGAAGAATAATCCGAGAGCGCTCGCGCTACTACTACGGTATTTGGAATGACTGGAGCATTCAGCCATAGGCAAACCTTTATCAAATTGCCTGTGCTGGAGTGCCAGAATTGCTGGGAAATTTGATTTAGCATACAATTCCATCAAATTCCAACAGCTTGGCAGAGAACTTCGACATACCAAACAGTTACGAGAGGTGCATGAGAACCCAATTGACCTCCAATTTATGAGAATCGTAAAAACCTTCACGAGTTTGGTTCGCATCGGTCTCAGTTCGTAGACCAACTTCGATTTTTGCTGTGTAATGATCGCATAACGATCTCCATACTGTTCTGATTTCCGAATCATTTCATTCAGTAATGAAGACAATAAACTACAGTCAAGGAACACTAAGTTCGTGAACAAAAGCTCCAACAAAAGCTCCTGAATTTCATCTCCAAACATGTACCCGTTGAAGACAAAATCTACAAATTTCCACATCACCGGACAAGAAAGCTAGACAGTTGTGGCCTGAGGGCGAGGCAGAACAACAGCATTCACGCAGAAACATTGTATTGCCATTTGAAGTCCTACATAGCCCAAGATTTGAACATCTCAGCACATCCGTCAATTTTCAGTCAAATTTCAGCGAAAAATGTTATTTGACATTCTAGAAAATGTGTCCAGTTTGATCTGAAAAATCTCACCAATGTTTTGAAAAGTGTCCTAAATGAATGAAAAAAAGCCGGGTCGAAATGAAAAATGTCCACGGTCCAGTGAAAAAAAGCCGGGTCGAAATGAAAAATGTCCACAGGTCATTGAAAAAAAGCCGGGTCGAAATGAAAAAAGTCCTGAGTCAATTGAATAAGGTCCACTTTGGAGTGGAAATGGTATATTATGTTTTGGGGCAAGCCGATGTACAAGTCAGTGTTTTTATCCTTC